CCCCCCCCGGGCCCCCCCCCCCGCTCGCCCGGGGCGGGGCCCCGCTGCTCTCCCGGCAGCCAGCCCTGGAAGGGGCGGCAAAGTTTCCCTGCCGACCCTGCCTGGGAGAGCGAGCGGGCAGCCTCCTCCCCCGCGGAAGTCAGTAGCTCGCAGCCTTCCCTGGAAACCAGGCGTTGAGAGAAGGAGCAAGATAATGGAAGAAGCCCCCCCGGGCGGTGGGACCTGTTCGTTAGGAGCGAGAGGCTCGCTCGGTTGAGTGCGTTCCCTTGCCGAGAGCGTTGGGGTCCCTCTTGTCGGTCCTCCTCGGAGACACCTGTTAATGCGTGACACACAGCACCTGTAGTGCTTTCTCGTGGGCCACCGGTTCTCACAGCGTGGGGTTCCCTTTTGATCACTAAAGCCTTCTGTATCCCGCATTCCTGTGCTGTGGAGGGGAAAGCTGGTAAAGGAAACCTTGGCGCCTTTGCGGATAAGGTACTTAAGGCACAAGTGAGGAAAGGCGCGGGTCTTGTGTGTCAGGGGACCTCGCTGCAGCAGCTTCCAGCTTATAGATATTTTCAAAAGCTGTGCCTTTGTATTCGAAATACCAGCCAGACTGTTATCAGATGAAACGTCCACTGGCTTCCCTGGTGCAACAGAACTGCCCCTTCTTCCTTTTCTGAAAGGTTTGATACAAATGTGAAGAGTTTTGCGGTCACAGCATAACTGACCCGGACGAGAGAGACTGGGGAGTTTTTTGAAATGTCCGGTGAGATCATGTGCCAGACAGAGCAGGGATTTTCCCAGGCAGGGGCCTGCCGCTGAGTTTGGGAACTGCTAAATGACAAGGTAGCTCAGCAGGTTGCTGGGGCTCACATGTCACTTGGGGCCAAAGGGAAGAACCAGGAGGAGACTTTTCACGTACTGCTGCAAAATTCATGTTGCTGCTCTCGGCGCTGTAGGCAGCAAATGTCTGTAGTTGTTAATGTTAGTTAGAAGGAAAAATAAAGTGTGGTGGTGAGATTAGAAAAAGTACTGTGTTGTGTGGTAGTGGACCGAGCTCACAAAGTTTATTAATCTTCCAGCCATTGTATCCAGAAAAGAAAATGCTAGTGCCGACTAAATGAAATATAACTCACCAGTGGGCAAATAGTCACCACACATCACTGATTTAGGCTATTAAGTTGTAGTAGTCATCAGTGTCTGCACCAGGAGGTGCTAAATAGAAGATATACCAACAGCTCGCTTATCCATAAATCATTTATTAATGTCTTGTGTCTTCCTGAATATGATAAGAGGTATCAAGGAGTTTATAATCAGGCAAATATTATTTTGATATTTAATACATTCTGAAGAAAATATAGCGAGTGGCTGTTTGCCTTAACTAGTAAGATGGACAACGTGATGTCAGTTTTGACAGCTAGATGTTTGTAACTTAGGTGTCTTTTCCTTCCCTCTTGGCTAAAAAGTCTGTACTATGACAGCAATAATTAAATGTCATTAACATAATCAGAGTCATAAAGGTAAAAAGCATTTAACAAGTTTTCCTCATTCCTGGTTTGGTTTTGCTTTGTTTTTAATACTGCTCTTCTTTGGGGGAAAAAAAATGCAGCGGGGGACTGTGTCTGATCAGTAAGAGGAGGATAATTATGTAAAGCCAGGGAAATTCGGGTTCAGGTTCTGTGAGTCAAGAAAAAGAGTGCTGTTTCAAAGGTTTACTGTATTTAGCATCTACTGTATACCCGTAGATCAGCTGAGGTAAAGCCTTTAAAGCATTAAAGTAAAAAATAAATCTTTGAAGTAGCTGCAACTTCTTAAAGGGAGGCTGTTTTGAGATGTTCTTCGAATACTCGGTAACAAAACGCCCAATCGAAGCTGAGTGAAATAACAGTATCAAGAAATGGAAACGTTTAGTATGCCCTGGCAGAGCCGGAGCCAGGAGAGGATTTCCGAGGACGCTCCCAAAGGGATGTGCCGTGATTCCAACAGGGACGGAAAAAACCCGCACAGGCACGGTTTTTTCGGCCAGCCCCTCCGACCTGCCTTGCCGGGTAAAGCCGGG